GTGAGACTCTGTCTCTTGAATAAATTATGTTATAATCTCTCTCTTTTTTTAATTCTTCCCCTAGAATTGGACGTTTTGGATATTCGTGCATATAGCTGTCTGCATTTTGGATCATTTCTTTAGTTCAGAGTTCCAAAAGTAGAATTCTAGGTCACAGAATATTTTTAAGGCTTTTAAAAATACGTAATAGCAATTACTTTATTAAAAAAGTTATTATGCCAGTTTACACTTCTATCCAGGTATTTTACTCTTGATTACAAACATCAGTTCTATGAATGACCTTTGCAGTAATTTTTGTTACTAGTATTGTTACTGAGAAATTTTACATTGGCTGTAATTATAATTGTGTTCTCTATCAGATTTTCGAGAGGAGATATTAATTTCATTTTTTTCAAATTTAGTATTTATTTTTTTAAGTATGTAAATATTTTTGGCTATTGAAGTTCTATTAGTATTCATGCCAGTCTTTTTTTTTTTTTCTTAAAGAAACACTTTCAAAAATACATTCTCAGATTTTGTTTGTTTGTTTGTTTGTTTGTTTGTTTGTTTTTGGAGACAGGGTCTCACTCTGTTGCCCAGGCTAGAATGCAGTGGTGTTGTCATAGCTCACTAGCTCACTGCAACCTCAAACTCCTGGGCTCAGGCAATCCTCCTGCCTCAGCCTCTTGAGTAGCTGGAACTACAGGAACATGCCACTACACCTGGCAAGTTTTTTGTATTTATTCTCAAATTCTTGAATGAAAACACACTAAGTCAGAGTAAACAGGTAAGAGTTAATCAGTAAATTGAAAATACAAACTAGGAGCTGTTTTTACAGACCAACAATTATATATTAGTTTGATTTTAGAGCTGGCACGACACTGCCAAGTAGTCCCTTGTAGATAAAATAAACTTATATTTAACATGTTACTTATATAATAAGCTGTACTGTAATGTTATTTTGAAGTATGGCTAAAGGCTTTTTTAATTCCAACACTCTTCTTTTATGCTTTCAGTTTGGGGATAGAGCATTTTTTATGTGTAGTGTACAGGGATACCAACCTCAGAATAGCTCTCTTCCAGACTAATCTTTCAGGTCTCAACTTAAAAATCTTTCCCTCAGGGAGTTGTTCCCTGCCTCACCAGTCTAATTCAGATGCTGTGCCTTCATAGGTTCCAATGGCCTCCGCTCCTCCTCTCACAGCATTCTTCATACTTTACTGTAATTCTTAGTTTACTGTCTGCCTTTGTTACTAGCCATTAAGCTCCTTGATTACATGTATCCTTTCTGTTTTATTAACCAGCATTCCCACTTCCTAGCACAAAGTATAGGCAATAGGCACTTGTTGAGTGAATGAATGAATGTCTGAATTACATGGAATTATGATTTAATAGAATGTTAATTAATAGGATCTACATTTATTATACCTATCAGATTGAGTTTTTTTGGTTTGGTTTAAATCTTATCTTTTTTGTCTTTGTTCTAGGGCAGAAATAATATGTTTCATACATTGTTAATGTTTCTCTACATCATAAAGACCAAAGAGTCAGGAATGCTTGGGTAGGTATTTATGCTTTAAAAACAAAGTACTTAATTTATTAACTGGTATTATGTTAAGATTCTGCACAAGGCAGCAGCATATTACTGAAAAGATTTATGGACTGAACAACAATAGATACAACTTCTAGTTCTAAAATATCTTGGCTCTGTCGCTAACTAGCTCAGCTGTCTTGGGCAAGTCCATCAACTTCTCAGTACCTCCATTTCCCTATTGGTAAAAGGCAAATAGACCACATCATTGGCTTTTTTCAAGCCATTCCATTTCAGACACAAAGCATTCTGCAAAATGTTTACAATTGAGAGAGATGGAGTCGGTACCCATTCCATAATGTTGTTAACTAGGATGGAAAAATAATCAGTTGAAATGGTTTACATACTTAGTAATGAAGCTCACATATTCCAACAAATTCAAAATTGTGTGTAGACATTTTGATGAAATTTTAGTGTATCAAATAACGTTTGGAGTAAGTAGGCCCCAGCTAAAGCTAGGAAAATCTGGTAATGCCGGGTCTAGGAGTCTGAAGACCTGGGTTCTGGGTTCAGCTCTGCCATACTAAATAACCTAAGCCTAACAAAATGCAGAGGGAAGGGCTTGGAGCAGAAGGGACCTGTGGTCACTTCCTCTTCTGATATGCCTGCCTCTTTCAAGGTTTGTTTAGGTATCTTCTGTGTAATTTAGCAGTTACAGGTGTTCTACAGTTGTGCTGTCCAGCACAGTAGCCACCAGCCATGTGTGGCATTGAGCATATGAAACATGACTAGTCCAAACTGAGATGGCCTAAAGAGTAAAATATCTACCAGATTTCAAAGATGTCATATAAAAAACGTAGAATATCTCCTTAATAATTTTGCATATTGATTACATACCAAAATACTATTTTGGATCTTTCAGGTTAAATAAAATATATTCTTAAAATTAATTTCACCTGTTTCTTTTTGCTTTTTTAGGTGTCTATTAGAAAATTTAAGTTATATATGTGGCTTGCATTTGTGATTCTATTGTATTTCTATTGGACAGCACTGCTCTAGAGAAAGCAAAGCTTCTGTCCTTAAATATATTAGATGCAAAGATTAAAACAGACATGAACAAAAATTTGTAAACGAACACAAACATTTATTAGCTTCTTTTATCATATAGTTTTTAATGTAAGAAAGATTAAAGAGGAAACTCACTTTTGTGAGGTACTAACGTGGTACTTTTTCCTTTATTTTTAAATTATGAAAATAATGCATGCTCAGTACAGAAATATTTAAATGACACAGCAGTATATAATCTAGAATATGAAAGTTCCTCTCTGATCAGCCTCTCTCAATCCCAACTCCCTCAGGATACCCAGTGTTAACAGTTTCAGGTTTGTGTCTCCAGACTGCTTGCTGGGAGTAAGTTGATTTTGATTTGATTTAAAAATGTGTAGTACCCAAACATAGTACTCTGTGATGTGATTTTTAATCTCATGGTATATTTTGGACATTTTTCTGTGTCAGTAAATACAGATTTTTTTTCCTAAAATTTCTAGGAATATTTAGTTATAAATGTGTTGATACATATATATTAGATGGAATATGGAATTTGCTATAAATATATTGTTAATACCGATTGAGTATCATTTATCTGAAATGCTTGGGACCAGAAGTATTTTGGATTTCTGATTTTTTTGGATTTTGGAAAATTTGTAATACTTACTGGTTGAGCGCCCCTAATCTGGAAATCTGAAATGCCCTAATGAGCATTTCCTTTGAGTATCATGTTGGCATTCAAAATGTTTTGGAACATTTTGGGTTACAGATACTCAACTTGTATGATAAAAACAAACAATGAGTTTTTGGTTTTAATTGAAAATTTATCTTTTCCTCCATAAATCCAAATTGATATTTTGATGTATAAATGATTTGTTATGATAGCATGAAGTTTGTGTTGAGTGCTATTTACAATTTGTCATATGCATAAAAATGAAAAAACTTAAAAGTACTTAGCAGGGCAGTAATTTACTCAGAAGCCAAGAATTGATACAAGTTTTGAAGTGCTTATCTCCTCTTAATGAGCAACTTATATATGAAAAATTAAGCATTTTAGACTGAAACTAATGAGTATTTTCTTTATTTTGTTTTGTTTTGTTATTTATTTATTTTTTTTGTGACCGCAGCAGGACACGAACCTGCAATCTTCTGATACGAAGTGGGTTTTTTTTTTTTAAACCAAGGAGGAAAAACATTGAAATTACTCAGAAGCCAAGAATTGATACAAGTTTTGAAGTGCTTATCTCCTCTTAATGAGCAACTTATCTATGAAAAATTAAGCATTTTAGACTAAAACTAAAGAGTATTTTCTTTATTTGGTTTTGTTTTGTTATTTATTTATTTTTTTTGCGACCGCAGCAGGACACAAACCTGCAATCTTCTGATACAAAGTGGGTTTTTTTTTTTAAACCAAGGAGGAAAAACTTTGAAATTACTAACCTTTTTAATATGACTAATTAATCTTTTTAATAAATCTAT